TTAAACAACTCACTTTGTTGTTTGTTTTTATTTGTTATTTATTTTACTTTCGTGATTTTTATGGATGCTTTCTTTTCCGACAGCCTGCACTTTTACGGACTGGTGACATTTTGTTTCAGAAGTTTGCTTTTATGAATATTTTAAGTCGTAAGAGTAAAATTTAAATGCAAAAATAAACAAACAACAACAACATTTGCAACAAACAATTGTAAACAATGCAAGCAAACCGATAATGATTTAATTCCAGCAGAGACTGCATGCATTTTAGTGGCTCTGAAGCTTGATTTGGTTTTACTGGGCATGCAAAGAGGTGGGTAGTGTTGGGAGAGGACTCCTCGCATGCAGGATATACATATTCAAGTATGTCGGGGTCAAGTTTGGATGAGTAAAAGTTGAATTTCCATTAGTAATCAGGCTTAAATTGGCCCGGTATTATGCGGGTCTCGTAAGAAAAGGTGGTGAGACTCCGAACACGACATTCACTGAAAGACAGTTTATAAAATATACTCGGAGTTACTGCAAATGGCGTTTAGAACCTATCGGAATGTCTTTATGCCCAACGATTCTGCTTTGTGATGCTGGATGAACCCTCTTAAGCTGAGTACTTCCTACCTTTTGTGCTTTTTTGATGGTTCGGCTTCCAGTTGATGTCTGCTAAGAATTCCCTAATAGGAGCATAGGTGTATAAGTGGCGATTAGGAGATATCTAACGATGTTTTTGTATGGTCTAAGGGCGGTGTTTTAGTTGGTTTGTAGTTCGTTGATTTTGGATCTTGCCGTTCCCTTGCATCCAGACCATCGGATAGCCTTACAAAATGTGAGCAACATTTTTTTGATCTGCCTCCTGGTGCTGTTGGCATTGCTGAGGATTTTTTGAAGCTATATACTTTGGCATCTGCTATTTGGATGGCTAGGGAGTGGAGTGAACCAACATCCAAAAATTATAGAAAAATAATTTAAACAAAAAAATAAGTGAAATTTTCTACTCGGCAGGGAATGTCAACCCCTCCGAATGTATTTCTGACGTAAAGTCAAAAGCTAATTACAAAAAACCATTGGACGTTCGGAGGCGTCTTAGTATAAACAGGAGGGGAAACTCGGCCGAAAATCGCTTTAGCGGTTACAAAGCGCCAATTTTATATCATATATACACTTTGGTATCCATCAGATTAGTATGCGGAGTGAAAGAGTATAAGCTGTAGAGAGTACTTCCAGTAACTTGGGGTTATTTTTCAAATTGAAATTTTTTTGACGACATCTTTTACATTGAATTCTCTCTGATACTCGGTCAACCAGCTAAGTAGACGAGGATTGTGGGTGGCATTCCAAATCAATAAAGAAGTGAAAAGGAGTCAGAACGATTAGTGGTAAATCGATAAAGAAAAATATCACGTTTAGAATATGTGTAGAATTTCGATAACAAATTTTTTATTACTCCCTCCATTTCCAATACTCTCCTGCTCTCTCGTACTTTTTATTGACTAAATTCCATTACGTAAGCAAGAAAGGGTAATTTGCTAATTAACTTCAAAAGATGCTAATTTATTTATTTTAACAATATCCAGCCGCCCACACGCCAGTGTAAATACTTAACAGTTTCAGTCACCTGTATCAACCAGACACCGAAAAAGGTTGCACCAACACCAACCAACAAAAGGAGGCAATAAATTATACTGGAAGAATTTTTAAATAGATTTGAAAAGTGAGCTTCACACGATGTGAGCCAAACGAGAAAAGGGTACTGCGCAGCAAAGTGCGAAATAGCTGTAAAAGCAATGACGAAAAAAATGTTAGCGGTACAAATGGTAAACTGTAACAGCGGTAATTGATTAATGGAAAGCAATTACCTTCGTTGATAGTGTTAAAGTGTACAAGAACGAGGTGCGACGCTCTCCAATGTAGCGACAGACCGTAAGGTGTGAAAGGTTGCTTAAATAGCATTAAAATAAAGAGTGCACACTATGAACTGCGCGTACATTGACACAGTGAAATTCGAATGAAGTGAAAGTGAGGTACTACTAAAAGGTGAGCACAAATCAATTAGGCCAAATTTGCAGTCAACAAATCAAATTGAGGATAGATGAGTTGATATTAGCAGATTATTTAAAAAAAAAAAGCTAATAACAAAAAAATTTTGAAGACATTCAAAAAATCATTGAGCAAATAGTACCAAAAGGCGCGCTTTTCAGAAAAGCTATCAATACGATGTGTGAAATTTAAAATTATCAAATAAGAACTGTTTCATCAAGATGCCGGATAAGTTACTCAGTACGATTTATTTGTTGGTATATATATTTTACAAAATTATATATATGTGGCTGGGACTTTAGAGGCTTTCTGGTTTTTATCAAACGATAAGAAACCTTTATTAAGTATTATCTAAAACTAAGTTTTGAGCTTTTATTATATATATGATATTATTGATCCAGCTACGTATTTTTACGTGCGCGTCGCTTATTATCTGCCAAAAGTCTTTCATATAAATATCAATAAAACGTATCAGAAATGCTGCAAACTCCGAACTGCGGAATGAAAACATACACACGACCTAATCTTATACCCAAATAATAATATTTCTGTCGGAGATCTCTTCCCTGGTCCTTGTTTACCTGGCCTTGATTTTTGAATGTTGTCTCAAAGTAACGGCCATCAGATGACAAATCACAAACTTTGGATGCTGTTATATAAACGACGTCATTTGGAAGCAAAATTTGATTCATTTGAACTTCCGCAAAAAAGGGAACTTAAAGGTTCAGGTGGAGTTGGGAGTGGTCACACTACAACTTTTCCTGTTGCGCAACACATGTCGGGTGTGTCATTGCGTAATTTGAACGCTTGACAGAACCGCTGTGCGATTTTTTTCTGCGCTCTGTTAAACTGATTCATGAGCTCTTTCAACACCTGCATATCTTCTTGCTACGGGCATTAAGGTTGGATTTTTGGGTATCATTTTACTAAAAAGAGTAATTAAATTTTTAATGTGAATGAATTTCGAAAATTAGAAGTAAGAAAAAAATATTCTAAGTAATGTGCGGAACGAAGCCAATATGAGGAATGATTTGAAAGAAGCGAGGTTAAGTGTTATAGGCAAAATAAGACATGTATAGGTGTAGTCTAAGAAGGTGTGACGCCATATTTGAAGGGCAAAGGACAATGTTCTACAGTTCTCTGTAAAAAAATTCGCTTAAAACGCCATCTACTCCAGACTTATGGAACCTAGGATTAAAAACCACAATCAACATTGATGATCAGTTTTTTATTAATTATTAATTTTTTGGGACCATTAATTTAAAAAATAACCATCTTTTCATTTAAGTTGGACCAAATAACATAAAAATGCCGAATGTTGTTGATACCAGGAAACCAGGATGGCCTTTCGAAAGCAGTACGCAATGCTAACCATTCGGCCACCACGGACGCAAATATATATTTGAATATAATAAAAAAAAATGTGAACAAAATTGAAATTGATGTAACTAAAAGTGGTTGAAAACAGAGAACAAATATTTTTAACCGTATTTAACTTTTTGAGTGCGACAATATTCTTCTTGAGTTGATTTAGCAGGACGTGTTTATTCGCAAACTAGTCCCTGAGTTTTTAAGATATGGTACAATCATGTACTAGCTCACTTTAACGACTTAGTCAGCCAGATTGGATCACTACAATTTAAATACGACCAAAGTATCAGATTTGAGATTCCAAAAAAGGGAGGAGTTTTTTCAAATATGAGAGCAAAGAGCCCATCTAAATCATCAAAATCGGAATACTAATAATACGAGGGGATTAACAAAAGTCCGGGTCAGGTGGTGACTTTAAATTTTTAAAATTTAAATTAATTAATTTGTTAAATCCAAAAATGCAAAAACCTTTGCAATTACTTTATCACTCTCTACTTCGGCTAAAATGGAGACGTCAGGCGACGTTCCTCCTCCAACGCAAACAGAGATTCGCCATGGGATTCTCTTCGGGTCTCGGCGTACTTTACAGCCAATATAAATATCCAGTGAATACCAAATTCTCTATGGAACGAATGCACCGTCTTTAAAGACTACTTCTAAGGGGTTCCGAAGATTCTAGACAAAACCTTTTTTCGTAGAGGACAGTAAAGTCCAAAATTGCTAAAGACTCACGACTGACACAAGAAATGATTGCAAATGGATACGGCTTGATTGTCATTGCCTAATCGCGAATATTAAGATCATCTGGGATACAAGAAGAAATCTGCTCGATGGGTACCACGAATTTTAAATTAGGCCCAAAAAGAGGCCTAAGTGCATTTTGCTTTTGTTTCCCAAATAAATTCGAAAATGGTAAGTCTAGCAATTTTAGTGAAGTCATTATTGGCGCGGAATTTTGGTTCTATAAGTACGACCCAGAAAACGAACAGCAGTCCATGGTATGAAGCCCAACGGGAGCAAACCCACCCATAAAATCTAAGCAACAAAAATCAGCAGCAAAAATAGTGACGTCAGTTTGCTTCAACCGATCTAAAATTGTAGCTACTATTAAACTGGAAAAGGGTCAGACGGTAACTGCAAAATGGTACTCCGAAGAGTGCTTACTAAAACTTTTTGTTGGAAAACAGGAAGAAAGAGGATTTGATACGCTACTTTTTACATAATGACATCGCGCCAACCCACACTGCTGAAATAACGAGTATTTTTATTGTGATCTCTGGGACCGAAGAAATATGTCTAGCACTATATTCCCCAGATGTAGCCCCTTTTGATTTCTGGTTATTTCCAAAAATTAAAAATTAAGTGCGACTATGTAGAGAAGATAAAAAGGACAGAGATTACGAATGACTACAAAAAAAAATTTATTTTTTGTTCCGGTCAGCCTACCGTACCGAACTTTTGATTATCCCCTCGTTTATCTTAAAAACTCCCTAATACCAATTTGTTTAGATTTTAGGATTTGGGTCGAAAAACCGTAGAGGATCTACAAGATCTCATGCTAGGTATATATATATACACTCGTAGATACCAATCATACATACCATATAATTGATTTGCTCACATTTGAAAATTTTGGTCAAAAAAGCATCTGCGATGAAATTTGCTATTTGACACACCATGGTTATGGTTTCCTCAAGTTTATGTTTGAACATTTTCGAGCAGCATTTGCACACTCTTTTATTGCTCATTGCTGAAAATTTTTCGAGCACTAGTTCGACCATTCGAGCTTTTCAAGCATTTTGAACAAAAATTGATGACTTTTTTATAGGATTTTTTTTTTTAATTTTGAATTTATTTATGCAAGTGAACAACTCATTGAAATACCAAGACAATTTCGACAGATAGCAATGAAAATTGAAAACAATTATCTGAGCGGTGTCTAGAGTAGTCTAGAGCTTTAGTGCCTACCCGACAATTTTTGTTGCAGGCAATAAGAAAACCAGTCGCCCTTGACAACAAATTTATCGCCGACAATATCGCCTTCGTATCGATTTCTTATTACCAGTCGTTCTAAAACGTCCGCCGAGGGCAACTCTCCTAGTCGAGTCGGTTCTTATTGCCTGAATAACTGGTTTTAGTATTTGCTGAATGAGATATTTTCTTACTGTTGCCGCTTTATCACTATTTGTTGTCATCGATGATTGTTGCCTATTTCTCTGTTTTATATGATATATACATCAAAAATTAAAACATATATGTACACCGAAAATTATATAAATTCATATAAAATCGTATAGCCATCTCCAGGTAATTTTTCTGATAAGAGAATTAATATTTTATTCAGATATGAAATAACAAAAATTTGAAATGGTCATGAAAGGTATACAAAATTTTTTATTTAAAAAAAAAATATTTTTTTTGTGCTACATACATTTACACATAATTATCTGGATGATTAACTGAAAATTAAAATATTGCGACTACTCGCTAAAGTGTTTTGCAACTGCTAAACCGCAACTGAGATAAAAGAAACACTCTACCGTGAGCCTCATATATAACAGTATTTTTCACTCACAAGGAATCGAGTAGCGCAAAAGTCTTACCGGTCAAGGCTGTCATGCGTTGCTATTGCTATTTGCTCTTTGGGTATCGGTCTTTGGGAAATAGGATGAGTGTAATGCCATAGAAGCACAATAAATTTTTCAAAGTCAGCTTCTTTCTTTACTCACTTTTTGTGCCACTTATAAATTCCTCAATTTAATGCAATATTATAAATTTGACGTTGAGTTACCTATTTCTTGGAAAGTCCGATAGTGGAGTGTTTAAGTGAGGCGAACCTTGGCATAAGCACATAGATTTTGTACAATTTAACTTGGTATGTTTTCAGTTATGCATTTCAAAACGCAAAATGAAGCTTAAAATTCTGGAGATTTCATTCAGCTTGAAAAAGTGTTTATATTTATAATAAAGAAATTTCAAGCTAAAAAAATTTCCGAATTGAAAAATATTTTGGGTTATATTTCCAGTTGGTTTCATTTATCCTTAGATGTTTGCTTTTACTAAATTTTTATATACCAAATAAATATAAACGAGTATTTAGGTATTATATATATATTAGCGCAAACACAAACTTCTCACTCATTACAGTGAAACCATTATTTTTGAGTATTTTTTCTCGCTAAATTCTTTCGACCTTATTTAAATATCAAAACAAAGTTGGCGCTCAAATCCTTAGAATAAATAAATCATGACAACGGAACGAAGGTCGAAAAAAGTTTAGAATTCACACTTTTATGTTGACTTTTGAAAATGATAAAATTGTACTTTCCATACGAATTTTACACATTGAAATTTTTAGTAGACCCGCAAAATTAAACTTAATGAAATTCAAATAGAGACTGAAACCACGAGTGCCATATTTCCTGACTGCTGCGACATGAAGTGAACAAATGAAAATGTCTTATTGTTTTATGGGTTTATGCGTCTTTTCTACGTTAATTCGCTATTTTTAGCACTCGATTGTTTTAAATGGAAAAAAATACATTAAAATAAGATTTAATATTTGCATTTTAGAAGATTTCGAAACTTCTGGTAGCACAGCGATGGTGGTTGAAAATGCTGAATAAAAATTCAAAGTAAATAGAATTATGCTAATGCACCTGCACACATATATATATATACAATTTCGTGCTTCTTGCGTTCTCCAAGCAAGATAAGCAGGTATTTCGTGTATTCTCAAATTTTATTGCAATGTTTTTCCATTAAAAGTGGAATACAATAAAATAAATTTTAATTTTCAAAAGCTTTTCTACTCTGCATTTTTTTTATAATGCTATCTGGCATGAGTTTATGATTATTATGTGGAGTGAAATCAGTTCAGTTGTCCTTTTGTCTGTACATTAGTTGCTCTCTGTTGTGTTATTCAAAATTTTCCTTTCTTAATTTGAAATTATTATACCTATGAGTGTATGTACGCTGTCTGGATGAGCCAATTGCGCTCATTGCTCTCTACCTGCTTCCCACTCAATGAGTACTTTCGTTGTGAATTGTCATTTTTAGTACTTAGCAAATTACATTTAACACTTCTTATATGTATGTACATATACATATTTTTTTGTTGGTTTCCATTTCTAAGCACTCTCCTACACTGATTACAGTTATTATTGTCATTGTAGGGGTAATTTAACAACTGAGAAATACATAAGCGTGTGCATATATATGTAAATAACGAGCTTTATGTAGGCACATATAGATGTATGTAAATGAGGTATGTTTGCATGCCATAATAAACACCTCACTTACCTCATTTTGCACTCTTCTAACTGTGACTTTCACATTTGGTATATTTATTTTTTCATCATTGAAAATTACATACACGTATATATGCTAAAAGTATTTGCTGACGGCCTTAATGTTTTAAGGCTGTCTGCTGCGTTGTATTTCTGGTTTATAGTTGAGTGTGCAATGTCAATCTATTAACGTGTGAATTTTCACATATTTTCCACTTAGGCAAACATGGATTTTGCAGACATTTTCTCGCATACCTTCTCATCATCATTTATTTATTTATTTAATGACAATACTTAGTATTGCAACGCAAGCGTAAAAATGTGGTACAAGCAGGCAGAAGGCTTCCATAAACTTCTCCTTATTAAATTTGTTTTATCTACATAATTTTATTTTATTATTTTGTTTTATTTTGCATCATTTCATTAACTTTTTTATTCACATATTTTTTTTTAAGGTTTTAATTATTTTTCTTCATATTATTTTATTTTATTTATTTTATTAAATTTATTTAATTGTATTTTGTTTGATTCTTATATTTTTCCGGTATATTTTAATATTTTCTTGTGTTTTTTTTTCTTTTTATTTTATTACAGTTTGCTTTGTATTACAATTTTTTTATTTTATTTTATTTAATTTAATTTTGTATTATATTAATAAAAATTTCTTATTTTATTTCATTTTATTTAGTTTTATTTCATTTTATTTTACTTTGATTTATTTTATTTTTATGTACTTTATTTCATGCATTGTTTTATTTTTCTCCATTTCATTTTTTTATTTTATTTTATTATTTTTATTACATTTTATTTTATTATTTTTTTCATTTAATTTCAGTACATTTTATTTTACTTAGTTTTATTTTATTTTTATTTTATTTTACTTTTATTTTATTTTATTTTATTTTATTTTATTTTATTTTATTTTATTTTATTTTATTTTATTTTATTTTATTTTATTTTATTTTATTTTATTTTATTTTATATTATTTTATTTTATCTTATTTTATTTTTTTATTTTGTATCTTTATTTAATTTTATTGATTTTTTTTGTTTGTTTTATTTGTTACAAGTATCAGCAGTTTACGATTGAGTTTCCAAAAATTTTCAATCTATAGCAAACCTGAAGTATTCCAAAGTGTTAATAAGTTATAAGGTACATACCTGCAATGAGAAAACGGATACGGTTGTTAAGACTTTTTGAAACTTAGATAATGAAAATATTCTAAAATATTTATAAAATTCGTGTCAAGAAATAACATTGCATGGAAATTTTAAAGCTTATTGGGTGTAAAATATATGCTAGTATTAAATTTTTAGCATTTTCATTTTTGGTTTGCTATTCTTTGGCTATATTTTGTATACATTCCCACTCCGTCGGCAGACCTATAGCTTGCAATCAGCATAAATTTAGTTATTTTACTTATATTCCTACTGTTCTTTTACGGCACAGTAATGTACCGAAAATTATATTTATATACATTTGCATACATATGGTTAGCTGTATGTATATAAAAAACATATTCATATATATGTATATATATACAAAATATAAGCACATGTGAGTACATGTGTAAATGCCTAACTCAGTATTTAGAAGTTTTTTATATTCATATAAACGAGTTTATGTATATGAAATATTGTGAGTGATTCACAACGGTTATCTGGAATACTGTCAACAACATTCATTTCTTTATTACTCGTTTTACCGCACACAGTAAAGCGTTTAGGCAACTTAACAAGGATTTAAAAGGTTTTCGCTGTCATCGACATGCCAAATGAAACTACGCAAAGTACTCATACGCCATGTCGAACAGTTGTATACATGCGCATATACATATGCACATACATATCTATAAGCGAATCAAAAGAGAGCTATTAGTAAAATCAACGCGGTGACAAGAGAGTTAACAAGCACATATACATATATATGTATATGGGGTACACACTGGTAATTGTTGGCAAGTGTTTTAGAAGTATGCTTTTGTGGAAACACTTGTCTGTATAGACATATGTATGTATTGTACATGCTCATGCATTTTGAGAAAAAAAAACCTCCCGGTATTTTGATTGGAGTAAATATTTAAATGAAATGGAAAAATGATTCTAAGCAGACTAAAACCTGTTATTTATGATTTCCACTGATGGTTACAAAAACAAATTGTTTAGAAACAAAGGTTTGATTGGCCATAAATTCAAGGATTAATGTCATGTCATGACGCATGCATTACATACACTTGCCTAAAATTACTTAGAAACATTACAAAACGATTTTTGAGTATTATTTTTTGACATTTTTCGCAAAAACGACTTGTCGACAAGAGTATTAGTAAGCATCAACAGAGCTTTACATTTTTATTATATTTACTGCCTGCTCTAAAGATAAATAAAAGCACTCTTCTGTAATTACGTGTTGGAAGTTTTTATTTCTTTTCATCAAAAATATCTGAAAAAAAACTCGAAATTTAATAACACATTACTAAGTAATCGTGTGGTTGCCGACATACTGAATGTCTGATTAATTTACGTATTTACCATATTCTAGGTAAGAGCAAAGAACGACA